GTTCACAACGAGGATGTAGTACTTCCTTCCCGTATGCATCGTGATGTATTTGCTCTGATGGCACTTGTCGGACAATTTCTTCCACTTCCTTGGTCTTTTGCTGATTCTTGTGGACTCTCGTGAAAAACAACTGTGCAAAGTCGAACTGTCCCAACAGCTAGAGTGACGCACCACTCACATACAGTTACCAAGAAATACCCCGACAATGCAACCGGTATTTTCAGTATACCTGGAATGGTGGTCTTGCACAAGTAGAATATCTCACCCTCTGGAGGTATGTCTCATGTGGGCACTAAGAGAGTGTTTGAATATGAGCACCGACAACAGGCACGTGGACGTAGTGTTCAACATGTATCACGAGGTATCGATCAAGACTGTTGAAAGATTTTAACGAGTGTCTACCTCTGACGTTGAACAATACAAGAACATACTTCCTACCTACACTGCGATAGGCTACAAGTAGTCCCTCTTTCACTTTCTCCATGGTGCGTGATGTAAGAGAAAACCGTGAGAAAAAATGGCCGCGCAAACTCCTGGGGACGCCCCCAGGATTTAATGCCGCCATTTTTTCCTTGCGGTTTATTTACGGTCTGCAGTCTATGGTCTCCCTCAACAGACTAAGCAAAAGAGAGACTACTTGTAGCCTAATACTGCGAAGTCAGGGAACAAGCTTTTCAGTGTCACTGCGAACAAACCTGACATTGCCAATTCCCTCGTGTCACAGTGGAAGAAAGAAGCATTCTGAGGCAGGCTCAGTGACTGGATCATGTACGTGACAACTGAAGATCAGTGCTAGAGACTAAGACACAGCCACATGCGAACCAGTTCCTGAGATAGAGTTTAATCATGAAGAGGCTGATATGAGTATGGTTCTCCCTACTTGGTACATGGGAGGCAGGTGTGTCATTCACTCTGACACTGATATCTTTGTCCTACTACTTGCTCAAAGCCAAAACCTTGGAATGTGCTACATGAAGAATGGAAGAGGTGAAAAGACCAGACTGATGAAATTTCTTTAGTTATTAACAGCTGCATTGACAAGCACTACTTCATGAAAGTCCTAATTAGCGTACACACGGTCACAGGCTGACACTCTCTGGTAAGCAGTCCAGCTTCTAATTCTCCAATATAGTGAAAGGTACTTCTGAGGTATAGCAAGAATTGGGAAGGAGTGAGCAGTATGCAATTAAGAGATACTGGAGGAGGCACTTGTGTGACGGCTGTATGAGAAGGAGTGCCAGAGTATAGATGAGCTGTGCTATGAAGTCCACTGTGCCAGAGGCAGGAAAGTCTAGCCAGAGTCTTTGCGGCTATGCCAGTCATCTCTATGACACCACGTTACAAGAGCAAATTATCAAGCAGCAATCTGGAGGGGAGCCGTCACCACAGAGAAGACAGTTGAAATACAACGCTAGAAGCGGAGTATTTTTGACAATTTTTGAGGTGTTTGGAGAGGTGCTCAAACAGAGTCTTGAGTGTTTTATAGAACTTCTCGATTGGAACTAAAACTAAGGAGAAACAGAAAAATAAAATCATAGAAATTTCTGCTAAAACAATCAGATATCCAAACACCATCATGGTCATGTTTAGGCTTGATGAATTGTTTGTGAGTTTGAGAAGTTATAGATCCNAAAGGTACTTCTGAGGTATGGCGAGAATTGGGAAGGAGTGAGCAGTATCTGAAGAGATACTGGAGGAGGCACTCGTGTGACAGCTGTACGAGAAGGAGTGCCAGAGTATGGATGAGCTGTGCTATGAAGTCTACTGTGCCAGAGGCAGGAAAGTCTAGCCAGAGGCTTTGCGGCTATGCCAGTCATCTCTATGACGCCACGTTACAAGAGCAAATTATCAAGCAGCAATCTGGAGGGGAGCCATCACCACAGAGAAGACAGTTGAAATATGACACTAGAAGCGGAGTATTTTTGACAATTTTTGAGGTGCTTGGAGAGGTGCTCAAACAGAGTCTTGAGTGTTTTATAGAACTTTTCGATTGGAACTAAAACTAAGGAGAAACAGAAAAATAAAACAATAGAAATATCTGCTAAAACAATCAAATATCCAAACACCATCATGGTCATGTTTAGGCTTGATGAATTGTTTGTGAGTTTGAGAAGTTATAGATCCAAATGCACATGACAGCCGTGACAAAGGGCATTATACGATCGGGGTGTAAAAAAAACTTCTGTACTCAAACAAGCTCTAAATTGAAGTGTGAACCTAGTTACATGTATATACATTGAGTTATCGTATATTGGTTCATGGCGTAGTGCTTAATTAACTTAACATAGGAAAGGTGTTTTTATAGAACTGTGTGTGGAGCACCTTATTGGTAATTTATTTATTTCAGATGGTTAAAATAGAGGTTGAATCACAAACTAGAAAACAAAATGGTGGCCATTGTGGCATAATTTATGATGTCATCATAGCTTGAACAACCACAGAAAATACTGAAATAATATCTAAGATACTAATTATTCCAAATATACGTCCAGGCAAAATATTGTGTGCCTCCGAGAAAAGAAACATAGGAAAATAACACCTTTTAATGTTTCTTTAAGAATTCCAAGATGGCGACCAAAAGGAGGGTATTGGGGGTAAATTTAAAATTCGATTTACAAAGTGAAAGCTACCGTTCTGTCCTCACTATCATGCATTTTAATGATACTTAATAGTCAAAGATTAGGAATATACAAGTTTCATTTGTTCCCCTTAANTTTAAAATTCGATTTACAAAGTGAAAGCTACCGTTCTGTCCTCACTATCATGCATTTTAATGATACTTAATAGTCAAAGATTAGGAATATACAAGTTTCATTTGTTCCCCTTAAGTGAGCTATACAACCACCTCAGCTGATGGACTATAAGTAAAGATTAAGCAGAAGTGTCCTCTGTACCAAAATTGTGAGGTACACCTCAACTCGCACACTCACAACTCACTTGTACTCGACATATCCTTGTTTAATTCTCTTCCAGTGTTACAACGCGTCCTGTTTTCTGCGGTCTCTCGATGAAAACCTATTTCACAATCACTCGTGTCTCCAATTACAATGTTTACGAATCTCATGATCCTAGCTGTCAACTTATGAAATGTCACGCTGTTACGACACTTCTGTCTACCTCGTTTGCAGCTACCAAAAAGCAAGATGGCAAAAATGACCTTCCTATAATATCTGCTTATTTGGTAGAAATAAAAAAAAAGAGAGGAAAACTTTCCTATCACCTCACTCGTGCATGTGAAGACTGAGGGTGTTTTCCATTATGCCAAAGATTCCTGAAATTTCGGTCAGAAGTCAAATGGAAAGGTTCATTTTGGTTTCTTCCGACCACAATATTCAGGATCACCGCTAGAGGTGGTCCACTTATTTTGGTCGCACCGGTCTGACCGAAATTTGCTGTTCCATTTTTGACAAAGCGGTTCACTGCACTGCTAGCTTCTCTTCACTTACGTAGGGAATTCGGAAAAGGAATAAAAAATGGTAAGAGACCAATTCCTCTTGGTTGGCCTGGTTTGATCGGAAAATGTTGTTCTACTTTCCTTGGGTATTGGCACAACAGAAGCACCTCGCATGTAATAAATACCATATTAGGGCATTATGCCT